TGAAGTATACAAATCCACCTCAACCATAATAAATCAATAATGTTATCCCGCCTATTTCACTTTTTACAATTTAAAAATACATATGTAAATAGATAGACACATCTAATGTCGTTATTTATATCATTCTATTATATTCCTTTCGATATAATACATAGGTACATACATCGATACATCTCTCCACAATGCTGCTCTTTGAATGCATGATTTTATTCTATTACTTTGGAATTTATCACCTACTCTATATTATCTCACTATATTATGATACGGAGTATTTGTTTTACTTTACAGTTTCTCCAGAAACTCCAAACAAGAGACAAGGGATTTTTACGGGTTCATGATTCAAATGACATGCTAAGTTAATCTCATCTCTTATGGTCTCTTTTTAATTTTATTAATGGTCTCTATTTCCAGATGCTATTTGTTAAACTTAAAAAACCAATTACAAAGCAAGAACAACTTTGCTGTTAGACGGTGTATATATTTATCATAATCCTTTTCAGGCCCACATGTGTAATGTGAATAACACCTCAAAATACTTTACGCACCCAGTTTCACAACCTTATGATTCTGTTTTTTATTAATATAGGTTTTAAATGTCTCTGCTCTATTACAAAAGCACCTGCTCGAACACTATTCAAGTATCGACAACTATGCTAATGGGGATGAAACTCACTGCATATGGAGATTTATTTATCCAATACATCCTTGCTTTCTTTAATGCCCAATTGGGCAGGGCAAGATTTACTAATAATACATCAAGTTTAATCCCTACAAAACGGATTTAGTTCTACTTTGTTCTTTACCTTATGTTCTTTTTTAAAACAACCAAGCCTGTAACGATTGTTTGTCATAGTACAGTGTTTGACTTATTCATCACAAAAAACTATTGTTCGTATTCGTCTCAACCCGGACTTGGTCTAACCTCTTAAGAGTAACAATCCTATTTTTAGATGTCCTTTAATTTACTCCTATTATATTTTTTTTAACATTTTAATGACATTTTTAAGAACTTTACTATTCTTTATTTTTATTAAAACACAACCAAAAACGTGATAATTGAAACCCACGGAGCATACTAAGCGTAATAGGTTGTGAATATTATTACGAATCTAGATTGTGTATGTGTAAATCATTTATAATTCCTCATTATTGAATTATGATTCCAAAATAAATTCTACAACCCATACAAAATTCCTTCCGCAATACACGCAATACCTAATCTGCATACAACAAACACGTGGATAAATCCCCAGCCCGTGCGAAGCACGGGGTAGACAACTAGTTGTATATATACTCTATAGTGCATAGTGTATACAATGAATAGTCAATCAAATAATAAATGATTGTGAATTTTAGTAATTGTTGTAAATTACCGGAGTATTTATTTTAAACATCGGCCTTGTTGGGAAATGTTGGGTCACCTAATGATTTTATAATTTTTCGACACTTCAAGCTTTGTTCCAAAGGTGAAGCCTTAAGCCCTCCATTTAAACCACTTAGAAAATTGGTATATTATCTCTAATTCATAAAAGAGTGATGAACATTTAATGTAACACAAAACTCATTTATTAGCACGAAGGGTTTAATGTAACAATACTCACTCCGTTCGGGAATATTCTTCCCGTGTTGACTTGGCACGCTTGTTAAGGAATAGTAAAAGAACTGCTTAATTTTTAAAAATGTACATACTATAAACTTTTCAATCTCCTTTTCTTAATAAAAAAAGTCCATTAGTGACAAAATAGAAGAATATTATTGAAAATCATCCTTAAAAACTATATTAAAAAAGGAAATGGGAAGAATATATTCTCGGAGGGGTCAAAAAAGAAAGTGAGAAGAACATGTTTGGACAAAAGGAGCATTCCAAAAAGGGAAAGCTAAAAGGCATTGCATGGGTTCGATTGTTCTTAAACGATACTGCTTCCATTCTTGAACTTTGCACTGTGATTGATTTTCTACCTATATTAAGAATGAAATGGATATATGCACAATATATGTCCACATGCATACAATTTTTAATGTGCGTAAGAAACCATAATGGGCAGTTATTTTAAAAAAAGAAAATAGAGTAACAATTGGGGCATTACCTACCACTAAAGCGTATATTTCATTAGGGGAAAAAATCACTTGTTAACTTTTTTTCACCACATTTTTTTGAAGCTGAGGCTGATTAAAAGCCCTGCAATGTTCATGTGTAATTAATTACACAAGATTCCAAAATTAATCTACAAACGAATTCACACTTGGAGGATGATGGCAAATGAATATATAAGCCAAACAGTAAAAAAATGAAAAAGAAAGAAAGAAAGAAGAAAGAGAAAAAAAAATGGCACATCCTAGTATGGAGTATGTTTTGGCACCGATCGACCATTCAATGCATCCAATAATTTGAATTGTTTCTCCTTCCATAAAATAAATTTCAATTCAGTATGTGTCTTCAGCGGCTGGCGCCTTTGGAAAACTCAATCTTAGCTTGTGGATTCTGCAACAGCTTAATTACCCTTCCCTTGGCCTCCGGGTGGCGGATGAGCCTTTGGAACTTGGGAGTTGCTAACCGGCTTTTGCAGAGGTCTTAGAGCAGCCATGATATCAGTAAATGACGGACGTAACTTTGGATCCCTGCAAGAGTATTATTGAATGGATAACGTCGCCAAAATCATGCATCTTATATTGCCCCAAAAGAAAAAATATACTCACGTCTGCCAACATTGTCTAATGATGTCTGCAATGGCAGGATCCATGTCATCCGGTATGTCTAGGCGACGGTGCTGAAATCCAACAGCACCAACAACTTGCATGGGGTTCATGCCTCCCCACGGTTGCTGCAGGGTGCAAAGCTCCCACAATATCACACCAAAGCTATATACATCACATCTGCATGGTGTAGAAACAACAACAATAATAATAATAATATTAATATTAACAATAATCATCATCATCATCATCATCATCATACTTCAGAGCCTACTAACAAGCATTTTTCAAACTGAGAAGTTACTAGCCCAAGATTACTAGTTCTTACTTAGCTGAAATTTGATAGGTCTTACTATTATTAGAAACGATCTATATTGGATCACATACTTTTCATCAGATGGTTCATTCCTTAGCACTTCTGGAGCCATCCACTCTGCCTACAAAAAATTTTAAAAAAAATAAAATAAAATTAGTTGAGTCCAATTCCCGCATGGCCTAGCTAGCATTTGGTAACATCAATGACACTTACATCTGTCGCACATAGCAGAAACATCACATACAACATATGTGATTGATTTTAAGGAGGAAAATATAGAGTACATATTTTACATTAGCTTTGCAAAATGATTCACAAATTTTCAGAAGAAGCATGACAAACCAAACATCTCCAAAGAGCCGCGGTTGATTTAGGACCAGAATCAAAGAGCTATCTTCTGAAGGGCTTATATTTAAAATTATGTAAGGGTAACTAGTGAGTATAAATGCTAAGCTAACAATATTCAACCAAGAAAGGGTAGTACCAAACAAGACATTCACCAAATCATGAAATGTGAGATGAGGAATGCAGATATGCACCAAAAAGGAAAAATAAGTCGCGTAGAAGCATTTCAGACAACTCTACAATGAAAAGCGCAACTTAAAACAAAAAAAGAAAACGAGAAAAAGGTAATCTACTATAATGCAAGCATAATACATTAGAAGGATAAGAACACCATACATAGTGCTTTAAACATGCAATGCCGAATGCAGAGAGAAAACCTCAAAATTAGTAATTCCTCCTTACCGTCCCTGCTGTTGACCGTGAAGAAAGAAACGTGCTGTGCTTCATTCTTGATAACCCAAAATCACATACCTACAAGTAGCGAACTCCATTCTTATCACAACCGCAGATTCAAGTGTAGCTGGCTAGTAAGTTACTCCCTCCGTCCCCCATATATCTTCTCAATAGCCCTTTTTGTTTGTCCATAATAGATCTTCTCATTTCATTTTTTAACAATTAAAATACCACAACTACCCCCACTTACTTTATTTATTACACCTCACCCACCTTATTTAATACACTCCACCCATTTTTATTAAGGATATTATGGTAAACTTTCACCTTTTTTCAACTCTCCTTAAAAACCACCAAAAGTCAAAATGAGAACATCTTAGGGGGACGGAGGGAGTACTTGATTATAAAGATCCACTGTTCAAGGTAAAATCACCTTCACCACCCAGTTCTTATCAACTAGGAGATTTGGAGACTTCAGATCGCGATGAACTATCATTGGGGTGCAATTATGCAAGTAGTTCATTCCTCGTGCCTGACATTTTTTAAATGCATAACATACATATTCGTTCATGAGGTAAAATATACAGTAACTCAGTAAGCAAAAGTCCCAACTGGTACATGCGTGAAAGAAATAGGGAAACTAGAGACCATACTGTGTCAAGAGCCATCCTCAATCGTCTCCGTTCATCTAATTGATTGTTGGGACGATGTATCAATCTGTAGAGACTGCCTCTGCAAGAAAATGGGATGTTTCAAAAGTTTGAGTATGTCATTACCAACATAAGAGTATTAACTATCTCATCAAATTTACAAGTTTATAGAGTTTTGTGCATGGAATTTATAGCTTTTGAGTATACCTGTGTAGAAATTCTGTGACAATTGAAAGATTTGGAGGACGAGTGACAGCTCCCATAAATAGAACAACATTCGGATGCCTAAGCCTTTTCATGATCCGTACCTTGCAATCCAAATGTTTTTTATATTAAAAATCATCTTATGTCAAATCCTGATCCATTAACGCACACACAACATGAAAGTAATTGACAATTCGAAAAAGCATGAAAGTAATCAAATATTTAGAATTGAATATCTAAACTTAAAATCCCATAAGAAAAGAAGCAACCACATTCAGAAATGGATGCGTAAACACAGCTTTGTCTCAGTTGAAACTCTCTGGCGATAACTTATTATCATCATTGCCATCATTCAGAAATAAATGGGGAAAGACAACTTGGATGAACGGCTCGTTGTAATATCATAGCTAGTCCTTTCAGGTTGTCCACACATAGTCTTTCATTTCCATTTTAAGCAAAAAAAATGTCCAGTTCATATTCTGCCATTTCTTTCTAAACCCCAACCACACATGCCAAGTAAAACCCACAACATTAAATGGGGGCGGAGGGAGGATTAGATCACTTAGTTACTCCAATAATTATAAGCATTGGTAGTTACAGAGACACTCAAAGTGTACCAAAACTGTTGGAGCAAAAAATTCAACAGGCTCTAACTAGATTACGACACTACATGAATGATTATCAATAGTTCTACACCAATTTATTAATTTAACTCTCCAATTAGCCAATATTCTCTCAAAGATTATTTAAAGAATTTATTTTACATAGAAGAAAATAATTTGCTCTAACATTATGAATGGAAAACAGAAGAAGGGTCAGATGGTACCTCGCTTTTGAATTCTTCAAGGGATTCCCCAGTAATATCTTGGTCCAAAAATTTCTTGACAGCAACTTCCTGAAAAAATGAAATCTTTAATTAGTCTTACGATAGGGAATGGAAATACATCACCATTACATGACCTTAAACAAGACTCAAAATATAATAACGATAACGTGAACTCAACCACGGGGAACCAGGTTTCAGCAACACTAGAAACAACTAAGCCTAAAATATGGTCTAAACCTAATATATGCCTAATTTTAAATCTCATGAAAGAACATGGTACATAACTTTGAAAACACTTGGATATCATCCAAACTCCAATACTATATTTCTCCAATGGAAAAAGACAATTCTATTACAGAAAAGAATTTAACACTTACAGTTCCATGCCAGTCTCCACGATATACCTCCCCATAGGATCCTGCAATAGAAGAGGAAGTGACAATCTTTCAACTAAATCAACTAGATGGAAAAAGTAATTGCAAATTAAAATTGCAAGAGTCAAATGCAGCTAAAATACCAAGGCCAATACGCTCTCCTATGACAATTTCCTCCCATGGGATCTCACACTCTGCTACGTCATCAAGCATTACATCAGATTTTAAGCTATCGTTCCCAGTCGACCTATCTGATGTTCTTTCAACCTCTGAATTCGCTCCAAGTACCTCACGCACTCGGTCACCGCTTCCCTGTTGCTCACTAGCAGTAGGATCCCCATCACTTCTTACCCATTCTAATGGATTAATATATGCCAGATTGTCTGGTGGCTGGGCAGAGATATCCAAATCGTCATATTGTTTACTGACGGCTGCAGTAGTTGCCACTACTGCTGCTGCCGTGGCTGTGGCTGCAGCTGCTACAGGCAGGTCAACATTTGGATCAGAGGAGGTCTTTGCAGCAGCTACAACCATTGATGATGCAACAACAGCAGCCGCTGCTGCTGCTGCTGCAACAGGCATATTTCTTGCCAATTTCAATTGAGGGGCTTCATTCTTCGGAGAACCAGTCTGTTCATTCACTTCTTCCTCTACATTTTGACCCAATTTCCCACGCCGATTTCCCTTTAAATTTTTACCCGGATGTGGCAAGGGAGGCAAGAAGCAAGCTCGTTCAAGACAATCTCCACCCTTCTTTTTCTGCAAGTTGCCTCTCTCCAAAAACTCCACGCCAACCCTATCTCTTGAGATATCTAACCCTTCAGAATAAATTTCAGCAAACAAGTTTGGAGGTGCAACAACTCCACTTTCAAGTAACACGTCATGTAGTTTCTGGGCAAGATACGGGTTTTCTTTGGCGGCATCCATCATGTATTGTGAAACATCTTTCACTTTCATTCTACGTGCAGCTGGGGAGCTAACCCCTTCAGTCCAAGATGGAGACCTTGCGTGCGAATAAGAATGAGTGTTCCTGACAGGCTCCTTTCTCGCATTGAAAGTGATTTCAAACTCACATGAGGATGAATATTCTTTTCCTTCACTTGCATATTCCTTCAGCCTGGACCCCTTGTCATTTTTATTGTG